TAAGGATAGTGTTTGAAATAGATCCAGATGGATTAAACAGTGCACGGGGGAGAAGTTGAGATACTTATAGAGAGATTTTCTTACCCCATGGTATGATCGAATGACTGAAATTACAGAGATAGAATTAAAATAACATTTGGAGAAGATGGTTCTATTTGAATGAAAGAAAGGCGACTGATATCAGAAGTAAGATAGAGTCAGACTAGACAGGATCAAGAGAAAAGAAACTTACTATTATTCACTTCCTGCGCTTCTTGGGTGGTCCCTGGTCATCATCAGCGGCTCGGCGACGCTTGAGAGGGGTAGGACGTGGCTTGACTGCCGGCCTGATGCGTTTGAAGACTTCGATCCTGACAGCCTTTTTGCTAGGGTTAAGACGGATGATTGGGCGAGAATTTGGGGCTAGAGGCCCAACTCGGTACGAGTGGGTTGCACAGGCGGTGAGAAGAGGGAAGGCGGCAGTGAAAGCCATTCGAAGCTTGATTGAAGTCTTTGGGCGGCAAGCAAATGCTCAAAATCTAACACGAAGATCGCGTTTGTGGCGGGGAGTGACAAGGGGGGATGTGTTGCGGGGAACTCAGGTAGTGGGACTGAAGTTTCACAGACCTAGTGACAAGGGAGCAATCACTCAAGATAAATGTGGTTTAGATTCAGTGAGTAGAGGAAATCAAGATGTGAGACTATGTGAGCTAAATACAACTAGGTAGAAGCATATACACGGTACAAGCATCCCAACATCCCCCCTTGCTGAAAACTAGTGTTAAGAATAGAGATAAAAAAAAATCTACTTGATGTGACTAGTAGTAAAAAAAATCTCAGTCAGGGAACAGAAAATTAAGGATTAACCAGGCCAGAGATCCACTGTGCAAAAGGAGAAGGGAAACATCACAACAATGTTTGTACTCAGAAATCAATTGGACAGGAGGAATTAGCCATAAACTTGCACCGAAGTTGTGCTTGTTAAGAATTAAAATTTGTCCGGAAATCGGACCCACTATCCCCACACCACATCAATTTCTTCATCGAAGCTATCGTTATCATCGTCGTCGTCTTCGGGACCATAGTAGCCAAGCGGGACTGCCGACGTCGCACCAGCACGAGCTTGGACCGAATTCGCTTGAGCGGTCGACGGTTTCTTCTTTGGTTTTGGGCATCCAGAGGAATGGTGACCCCGTTCACCGCAGTTGTGACAGCCGAATCGTTTGGCTTTCGCAGCTGAGACCGAAGCATCGGCTTCATGTCCAAAATGGTCCGTCGGAGGTGTCGTGGAGAGCTCGTGCGCTTCAAGAGCTCCAATGGCATCATCGAGACTGACTTCCTTAGGGGAATACATGAGATGATCACGAATCGTCTTCCAGGATTCGTCGAGTCCTCGCAAGAGTCGGTCACATATTTGCTGATCGGCTGGGGCTATCTTGGCGGAATTCAAGTCGGATGCCGCCTTCCTAATCCTAGCGATCCATTTGGCTATCGGTGCGTTGGGGTCATGTCGAGCTGACCAGAAGTTGTCCTCGAGTTGAACACGACGAGCCCTAGTGTTCTTTTCGTAGGCATCAACTATTGTAGAGAAAAGTTTTGAAGCTGGTTTGACATCGCTGTATCGAATCGAGAGGTCGACAGATAGAGTCATCTTTATTGTTGATCGAGCCAAGTCCGACAGAGCATCCCAGTCGGACGCGAAATCCTCAGCGTTGTAGCCTTCTCTGCATACCGGGGATCGACCAGTCGTCTTGCCTTCC